CGGAATCCACAAACTGACGTCCCACACGGTCTGGGCGCGGGCGGCTGAGTTGTGTCGCGACTCTCTGCCAGGTGCTCTTTTTTGGAACGCCACCGATCTAGCGCTGGCCTCCCATACCCCATAAGGTGAAAGGAGGGACAGCCGCCCTGGTAGCTTAGTTGGTAGAGCATCGGACGCGTTATTCAAAGGTCGCAGGTTCGGTCCCTTCTCACGGAAAGTTATCGTTTGTCCATTTTTCTTTCATGATTTACACTGCATTTTCACTAAACATACCGTATGCTTTTCTTCGCAGTGTTGTGTGTTATCATTACAATTACGGTTGCATTAAGAGTCGCAAGCTGTCGATACTATCGTATGGTAACCATACTGGTGTAACCCCATATACTGTAAATCCGTTTGCTTATACTGGACAAACTAATGAAAACATTAACTGTAAAGCACACCAATATATATATATATATATATGACGCATTCACAAGGTGATTCTAGGAGAAGCTCACGAAGAGGAAGTGCGCGTGCATTAGAATAAACACATGGCATCTGGACCACGACGTGTCTCCATGTTGTAGCGTCACACAAGTCGGCAGGATCGACCTCACCAACGTGCCATGGCTAAGCCAAAGCCTCCGCTCAACATACAGAAGTTCAAGGGAACACCAGAAGACGTCCCCATCGACAAGTGGCTTCTTCTTTTCGACATGAAGGCAGCCGAGGCATCATGGACTCACCGCGATCGGGTCACTCACTTCAACGAATACATTGAAGGGGAAGCGTTCAAGTGGTACCTGACAGAGATTTTCAGGAACGGCAAGACAACTTGGGGCGATATCAAGCGTGACATGCAAGCCCGCTTTGCTTCGACTGACGGAGATGCCTTCCGTCTCTTCATTCACTACCGACTGAAAGGAGGGCAGACCATCAAGGACTACTACGACGAGAAAAAGCGACTGGGTTCCTTGGCTGACCTGAAAGAGTGCCACATCATTTCTGGGCTGACTGATGGTGTTCCTCCTGATGTGGAACTGGCGCTCGCCGGACTGTCTTTCAACTCGTCATTAGAGTGGCTCACCGCTGCTCAACGGGTCGAGACATCTTTAAAACGGGTGAGAGGAGTTTCCTTTACTCGTAACGCTAGTATCGCATCAAGAGCTCCCCGTCTCTTCAGCAGATCGCAGCAACCGACAATAACTCTTCAACCGCGTGCCCCGCAAAACGAATGTAGATACTGCTCAGCTGCTGGTTTCCCACGACAGTTTCACTGGCACAACGAATGTCCGCGTCGCGGCAATGTGTCCGCTATTGATACTGAACGGGGAAACAAGGAGGGCGACCCAGAGTTTCATTAATACACTTCAGTGCTCTCATCAACGGAAAGCCAGTAAATGCAATTCTCGATACAGGAGCAACAATTACTTGTATCAGCGAGGATGTGTACAAACAGCTAAAGCTTCAGTTGATGAGAGACTCCAGCATCATGGTCCAGCAAGTTGCATCAAGCATTCGAACTTTGGGTCGCGTAAACATTCAGTTACAAATTGGGAACGTCATCAAGAAAGTTTATGCACATGTGCTGTGAGGCATGAGAACGCAATTAATTCTTGGCCTAGACAGCGCTTCATACTTCAATCTTTCTGTAAATCTGGAAAGCAAGTCAGTGACACAAGCACGTGAGAATATGAACCTTCCGCATCACAATGAAAAGAAAACCATTCAAGCCCCGCTGATGCCAACCCTGACTTCAGAAAACTTATCAGAGCGTGAGTCTGTGGCGCTCGACTCTCTTTTAAGCAAGTATGCCGAGATATTTTCGAAATCTCAGACAGATATTGGGTGCATCACTACTGAGAAACATAGGATCGCACTTACCAATGCTGTCCCTATTCGTTGAGCACCATACCGATGTTCACAGGCAGACAAAGTGGAGATCAACAAACAGGTTAACGCTCTCCTCAAGCAAGGTGTTGTGAGGCCTTCATTATCACCCTACGCTGCACCTGTCATTTTAGCAGAAAAGAAAGGTGAAGGACGCACTCGTCTATGTATTGACTACCGGAAACTCAATGCCATAACGGTACCAGACTTTCAACCAATTCCACGTATAGATGATATTCTTGACCACTTAGGAAAGGCGGAGTTTTTCACTACGTTGGACGTAATGTCGGGATACTGGCATGTGCAAATGCATCCTGACGATGTTCAGAAAACTGCATTTGTCACGCCTGATGGTCATTTTGAGTGGTTGGTAATGCCGTTTGGGTTGAAGAACGCTCCAGCTACATTTGAAAGAGCCATGAAATCAATAATAGCGAAACATCAGCTCACCAATGTTATTAATTACTTTGACGATGTGGTCGTATACTCAGAGACATTTAATGATCATATACGACACCTTGAGGCGCTATTGAAAGCTCTCAAAACCGAGAACGTAAAACTCAAACGAAAAAAGTGCCAATTTGCACGCTGCAGCATTGAATACCTGGGCCACAAAATTTCACAAGGAACAGTAACACCTAAGCAAAGTAATGTGGCTGCCATACTCAAATTTCCTACACCAAAACGAGAAAAAGATCTCCAGCGTTTTCTGGGCACTGTAAACACCTAGCGTCAGTACATCCCCCACTTCAGCGATATCGCTCTTCCACTCACAAAACTACTCCACAAAGGCAGCAAGTGGGTGTGGACAGAAGCATGCGAGCAAGCCTTTCGTGAACTGAAGGAGCGGATAACTGAAGAACCGGTGCTTCGCATATACGACCCTTCGAGACCATGTACTGTGTACTGTGACGCATCTGGCGAAGGCATCGGTGCAGTGCTGAAACAACCTGATGACAAAGGCAAAGAACATCCTGTTGCTTACTATTCCCGCAAACTACTCAAGCACGAGGTGAACTATGCTATTACAGAAAGAGAATGTCTTGCCATTGTAGATGCCATTGATAAATGGCATTGCTACCTTCATGGAAAGTCATTCACTGTTGTAACAGATCACTCTGCACTCCAGTGGCTGAAGAATGTTAAAAATCTTAAGGTCGTCTCTTCCGGTGGTCTTTGAAACTGTCAATGTATGATGCGAACATCAAACATCAAAAGGGCACAAGTAATGTCGAAGCAGATGCGCTCTCCAGAGCCCCAATAGTTAATCTTCTATCACACGACGACCTTCAGCGATGCAACAATGAGCGTCCAAAAGGAACGCACTCATTGGAAAATAACATCATCATTGTTAAAAGAAAAGGACTACGGAAAATATACGTGCCCCATGAACTACGCCCAACCATTCTGAAGAATGCACATCAACATTTTGGACATGTCGGAGTGAAGAAGACGCTATCACTCCTGTCTCCGCAATATTATTGGCCGCATATGGTGACCGATGTTTCCACTTACATTCGGCATTGTGATACATGCCAGAGATGCAAGAAGACGAAAACAAAAAAGTTTGGGACGCTTGAATCACTGCCTCCAGCTGAAGAGCCCTTCGACCTCTTTGCAATAGACACCATAAGAGGATTTTCTGGATATGGCTCGTCAAAAAGGTTTATACACTTGGTTATTGATCATGCGACTCGCTACGTATGGGCGTTTGCTCATAAAAGTGAGAACAGCGACGCCTACATTTCATGCTTAAAAACAATTTTTTCTTCTGGAAAACCACGGAAGCTCCTTTCAGACCGTGGAACAGGATTTACCGCAGGAAAATTCAAGCAGTTTTTAAAACATAATCGTATACACCAACTATTCACCTCATCTCATCATCCACAATGCAACGGCATGAACGAGCGGACAAACCAGACTATCGTAACGAGACTTAAATGTAAGATCAATGACGAACCACAGAAGTCTTGGACTAAGCTGCTTCCGGAGGTAATTGACGAATACAACAGAACACCCCACGAAGTGACAGGCTACGCACCTTCCTTCCTGATGTATGGAATTCCATCTTATCCTACTGTACTGGAACAACGAGAAGAAACCGTCGAAGAAGCGCAAAAAACTGCAGTTACCAATTCTATCGCCTACCATAATAAGAACAAAGTCATTTATGATAAAAAATTTCTTCCGATTGAGTTGCTAGTCGGTGACTTTGTCCTTTACGAGACACCATGGCATCCCAACAACGGCAAACTGAGTTCTGTCATGGAAGGACCCTACAAGATTCTACGCAAGGTCTCAACAGTGAACTATGAGATCAACCACTCCATGCTACCCTTACGTAGAAACTCTGACATTGTGCATGTTAGCAGACTGCAGCGTTAATTCGAACCTTCTGAACTGAGACTTTCTCGAGCGGAGGGGGAAGTGTGACGCATTCACAAGGTGATTCTAGGAGAAGCCGACGAAGAGGAAGTGCGCGTGCATTAGAATAAACACATGGCATCTGGACCACAACGTGTCTCCATTTTGTAGCGTCACATATATATATAATTTAACATGGTCTCTACACATTATCAATGTCACTAATTCTACCAGTCGTGTCCTCGGTTATCTTTGTCGCAACCTTGTCTCGGCACTTACTTACACTTGACTAAAAGCTTATAAACCGCTTGTAAGGATTAAACCAGAGTATGACAATGCCGTATTTTATCTACACCATGCTAACCTTACTAGGATATGCTTAATTACATCCAAAACCATGCTTCGGATTAACTCTCTTGAGAAAGTTGAGTACTCAGCCAGCATTAAGTGTGAAAACTGTAAAATATCAACTTTTGTCTTCTTGCCTCCTACCATAAAATTTCGCGTCTGTGCTTTGTTATAGGTTCTCTCATTCCTTGCCGCCTAGCAACGCTTGCATCATACCTGAACACTGGATATTGAGCAATCGTCATCCGAACTGGTCCATCCCATACGATTAAACAAATAAATGAAACATTCGACATTAGTTCTGTGCACTGAAATAGTAGTGGAGTACAACAGCCAAGCATGCTTACATAGCAGTCACTTTGGTGCAGCGTCAAGTACAAGGAGAGTCATGTGAACGAAGAAAGAAACAGCCAACAGCAGTTTAAACTTGTATATTTAATAATAATAATAATAATAATTATATAATAAAACATCTTATCTACTTTGTAGCTACTCAAGAAACCAAGCCAAATGCATAGGTCATCAGAGTCAGATACAAAGGTTGGGACACTTGAGGTTTACTTCCAGTGTGTTGACTAATAAAAAGAAATGAAAAGAACATTTTCAATGCTTCAGCTTGCATTTACCAAACAAGTACATTGCAATTTTTTTTAAATGTAAGAGGTAAGAGTATCATTGTTATCACCACCCTGCTTCTCAGACAAAAATTATCAAGTACGTGTAACATATGTGCATTTGCATCGACACTGGCACAAGGAATGCAATGCTCATATTTTCATTGACAGTAGGAATAAGGAAAGAAAGAAGAAAAAAACAGCAATGTCAGCTGCAACAGTGGTCACTAACAGTTACAGCTGCACTAGCAATATTGTCCACAGTTTTTTTTTTTAATTTTTTTTTCTGCCAACAATCAACACACTCCAAGCAGACATTGTTGCAATATAGACCAAGACCAAAATAATGTTAATGTGAGGTGGGGATCGAAGGCAAAATAATGATTAAAAAAAATCTTGTTTGCAAATGCCAACTCCGCTGCTCCCTCTCCACTCTAAACCACATGACTAGTTCTGGAAAGCCAACATCTCAACTCTTAAATGAGGCGCATCTGGTAAGTTTTTTTGCAGCCGCAACACAAGACAAGAACGCATGCTGCCTGCAGTCAGTCCTCTCGCACTTTTTTTTCCAGTCTTTCCTCTTGTTTCACGGTGAACCTCATAATCTCGTTGCACAGACGAGGCTAAGTCATCACAGCTGGTAATGCATGGACACAAAATTCTACTGGAGGCAGAATCTTGGAGCACAGGCTTGTGCAGGAATGTAGGAAAAAAAAAAGGACAAAGAAACAGCGCAGCACAGCCCTTGGACGCATGCATGTATCCGTCCATGAGGGAAGAACAGTGGCTAAATGCACGGCAGCAGCATGAGGTAATGTTCCTTTACGTTACGAGCTAAATACTTCAATAATGGCAAAAAAATGTGCATTCCATTCAGCAATTGAAACCAGAATAGAAAGCCTAAACGGTGTTTGCAAGAAATGCCATTCAAATCTACATGCTTCCTGAGCGGCACAAAGTTTCCTGTCTGGTTCTGCATGTTCAGAATTGCAGCTTTTGCAAGATAACTTAGGCAGTGCCAAGGGGATACGTACGGTGGCCACCCAACAGGCGTGCACTCCCCAATGTCACTGCTCGTACGTGAGGTTGCTGGCTCATAAACTATAAATGCACTGTTCTACAGTTCAAGGACAATAGGTGGCCATAGAATCATAATCGTATTCATCCCACGATCATAATCCAGATGAGAACTCCTTACCAAACATTAAAGTGCCTTTACCCTTTCATTTCTGTCTTTTTGAGTACATTACTCAGTGTATCCCATGCAATGTGGCAAGTTAGCATTGTTCTTCCGCCCATGGGCTGCTAAACAAAACACAACATTCCCGGGAATGCTGCTTTGAGCAAATTTTACGGCAGTTCACAATATTTGAGACTATAAGCGAGTTCCCCTAGCTTACACGACCCACCTCCTCTTCCCGATTTCCACAAGCCTTGGCACACACTCACACGACTTGGACAAAAATCAACAAACAAATGACCAGGTGCATATGACAGATAACTTGGGTATTCTCAACTTGACAGCATAGAAAAGAAATCCAAACTGCCAGCAGCACACAATTCGTATTCTCTAATAACACTATGCACAAGAAAAAAAGTGCTACCATGATGAACATCCAAGTACGTCCCACTTAAACACCTTGCCTTGACATACAAACAAGCATCTTGAAACAGTCTGCACCAACATCAGCCAGGCTTTCAAGCACGGGCAGTTCTTGACCTCAAGATTTCAAGATGTTGCCCGCGAGAAAACACCCTTTGTAGCTACTTGGGAATGAACTTTACACATACAATACAGGTAAAACGTAAGGCAGGCTGAGGGTAGCACTTTTCCCACAAGTAATATGTGTGCTTTGATAGACAAACAGCTGAGGTAAATGCATGTTTGTACACAGCTTATAACAAAATTGAACAAACTGAAATAGCGGTAAAATGTTGGCAGATGCTACAAAGAAAAAAATTACTCAACAAACTACACACAGGCTGGTTTTGCAAGGCCACAATTAACTCTTGTGTTGTGTTAAGGCCTGACGATGGTTTCTATGTCAAAGAACAGACAACTCTTGAAACTCACACTCATTGTATGACACAGTACTGAGAGGTTTAGGGAGGGGAGGGTGTCATTGTTTCCTCATTTATGGAACTGCGAAGAACACACGACAAAAGATATGTCAACTCACGACAAAGACACACACATCTTTTGTAGCTATAGCATTGGAAGCTTGGTGTATCACACTAGACGACACACAAAGGACTTTCATGGAACAGACACAAATGTGTGCATTAAACACGAAAGGACCGACCCAGATGTCCTGCCCTCTCATCTAAACCTTCAATGTTTCCCTACATACGTCTTCGTCAAGGAAGACTAGGTTGTAAGATGTGGGATACCTTGGGATACCTTTGCACTAGAGGGACCCTGTGACTACATTCTGAAAGCAACAGAATAGAATGCCAACAGGGTGCCAAACGAGGCACTGCCATCCAAACGCTGAGCTAATTACATTCACAAGCATCCATCGGTAGCACCAACAAATGCTGTGCCACTGATCAAATATGTGCGAGTGTTATGTGCATTAGACGAGTTATCAGACGATGGTGTGACAACGATCGCCTTTATGACAACAAAGTGTGTGCCTGTCGTAACCAACACCCTTTCATGGCACTGGCTAGGAATGCTTACCACGTTTTCTCATTTTGGTTTCATTAGGTCATACTACACTTGAATAATAAAGGCACTTCGTTTGGTTGGGATTTTCCCATGACAATGTCGCACCATTAAAACCTTTATAAATTGTGACAAGAGCAAGTTTCAAAAGTTCATCGAACCAACTTTCTAGTGATCAAGGTTTTATAGGAACGACTGTTTTCTGCTCTGGTAAGCAGCGCTAAGCTTGCAAAAAAAAGCGGGAAACTTTCTGCTTTATGCTATGCTGCAGCATGTTTCCACAGACAGTTAAGCTACGCACTATCGTTATCGAATTAGTTTACTGGTGACTGAGGAAAGCACTATAAAATGCAGCATCAAGCATGACACCTTCCACACACCCAAAAGTATTCCTTTCCACAAAAGTAACATAGCTGAAGCTGCTAAGTAACCTTTCCTATACTTTTATAATAATCCAGCCTTGTAAACACTGCTCAGCTTATGCAACACAAGGGAGAGTTCACTGCTTGATCAAGTAATGCATTCATAACATGAATGATTACACAACACACGCCTTCCTTGACCTCCTCTTGATCCGAGTTCAAAAAATCAGGTGGCTGTGTGGAAGCCAAGCGCAAGCAGCTAACCCAAAAGTGACACATTATGCAGCTATATATGTCTCATTTAAGAAGAGGGTAGTTTCTGTTTGCAGCTCCTTAGGCTAACTGATGCAAAATTAAGTTGATTATCATGTGGAAGAATCTGCACACTTTCTTACGTCACCGAGAATATCATGTTATGTAAGTTATTTTTTCACTCCCTTCTTCACTATGCTTACAGCCTACATATCTGATGCTACATCTGTTACATGCTACATATCTGATGACACTCAGAAAAAGTTGTGACTCTTTCTGAAGTACAGGTTAGCATTTTAAGACATGGCTAATGTGAACCAGACAAAAGAAAAGCCAAGCAAATAATACAAGTTTATGCACCACTGAAGGGCACGAAAAATATTTAATAGTGAGCTCCAACATTTACCCTTATTATAATGCCTTCACCGAGCTGAAATTCATGTAGGTGCTTTTTTTTTTCTGAATGCTTGTACGAAGCAAAATGGACACTTGTGGTGCAACCTTGTACGCATTCCAAATAAGCACAGAGGGGTTCCGTTCTATCGAGCTTCACGCAATCGGTCTATGTCAGCCTTGATTAGCACCATGACATTATCTGATTAATTGCATGCACCTCGACAGAATGGAACACCTCCGTGCTTATTTGGATTGTGTACAAGATCACGCCATTGATACCCTGGCATAGTGCAATGACATACCTACAGAATTCTGCAACTCAGAAAATAATATATATATCTAACAGTATTGTACACGCCCATAGCAGGGTAACAAAAACTGTGCATCCAATCTGTTGTGGCGTCTACAGCATAGATGTTTCACAGTCGATATGACGTCTGACTAATGTCAACTCACCTTGTGCCACTTTCATAAATCATGACTGGAATGGTTATGTTATCACCAGCCTGTTTGCAGTGTCACAGAATGCACGTGCTGATGCTACTAATCCCTAAATTAAAAAAAAATGAAATACAAAAACTATTCCTTTGATTTACTCTTCCATTAACACTTTCATTAAATAAGAAATAAATATTATTGTGCAATGAGAAAAGAAAAAACGGAAGAGCAACACCTGATAATCAAAAAACACGTGTAGCCTTTTCTATAAACTTTGTCACTCCTAATACAACTCTTTTCTTTACTGACACTTGACACGAATGTAAAGCAGTTTCACATAGGTAGCACAAAAGCAGTAAAATATAACGCAATCTAGTTCACAGTGGCAGGCCATGATAAGTCAGCGTTTCATAAGGTAATGCAATGCACAAAGCAAATTATTCATTAGTATGAACTAGACACACATTGGCTTATAGTCCATATGCAATGGCGACACACTTGCAGAAACAAAAGCAAGACATCACAGGGCCACCTGGTGGCATGTTTATGGAAGTGTATTTGAATGATTGAATTCTTTGCAATGACGTTTCAAATTCATTGAACTAGGACTTTTGCAGCTTGTGTTGAGGACCACAGAGCTTCTCCCGATCACAATGTTGAAAAAAAAAAAAAAAAATGGCGCTGTGTACTGCCCATGAGAGTGCTAATAAGCCAATGTTTCGGATGAACACGTCTTTAAGACTTTTTGAATACGCAAGTGGCAATGAATAGTTCAATCGCCACTAACAATAGCACGAAATGCACCTTTTTCGCTTTATTATGTCAATGCGGGGCCACAGCAAATGTAGGTATTATTGGGCAAAAGTGTGCAAGGCTAGCGGTTAGAACCTCCTTGGGAAAGGAGCAAGCAGCAATTATCTTAGGCTCCTTAGATGACGCAAACAGGATCATAACCAGGCTGGTACAAACAAAAAGCTTTCCAGTTCCTCACTCCTCAGCCATCACCATTTCACTGACGTGGGACGTCCGCATAAGCATGACAGCAAGCACTAGCTGTGCATTACTGGCCGCCAAGTATGGCATACAGTCATGGACCAGATGGAAGAAGAATGGCACTGTCTTGTGCTTGACAATTTATCGTCCACTCACAACTCCAACTTCCGCACTCAGTGGTTTGCAAAAGTGGAGGCACAGCTGTACTGCAACGTCATGTTGCATCATCTCAGGTAGTACCGGAAGTGCACAAGAAATTGCCATCAGAATTTTCGCTTCAGCTTAAAATTCGCCTGAATGACATTTCATTGCAGGAAATTGTGCGGTGGCTGATTATTAATGAGCCGTTAATTTGTTTTTTTTTCATTTGCGTCATAGAGCTAGCCAGGCTGGGCAAACCACCTTGTTTCACTTCTGAAGATCTTCTACCACCACCCCCAAAATATTGCAGCCACCCAGTTTTCTACCAATCACATTCCAACCGACGACCCTGGTAGACTCACGTCCACACAATAAAAAAGGGTCAATAAAAAAGTAAATATTAATGGAATTTAGAATGCGAGACCCAACTCATTTTACAAACATTTATTTTTAAAATGTTTTTATTTGTGCCATTATGCCTGTTTAAGGTTATGTAATGTTTAAAGAAACTGAACCTTAAATATACTACCCTTCCCATGGTGTCTCAGTACACTTCAAAGGAACTTGCATATATGGTGATGCCGGATTTCTACCCCCATACGTAGTACTGTATGAAACTCTGAGATGGAGAATGTTACAATCTTTGTGCACAAGCTTCAACCACCTTGTGCGATAAGTATAAGACTCCTGGCAGGCGAGCATTGCCATAAGAGCATTATGCAGTACAGATTTCAACTGGTGTGCAGCCTGTCCCAAATAGGACAATGGATCACATTACAACTTGCCAAGCTAATCCTGCAATTGCATCCTATGCACAATGCAAGAACGCTACTAGATTGAGAGCAAGGTGCATTACTCCCGTAGTACAATGCACAAAGCAGTTATGCACCCATAGAACTAAAATGTCTGTCACAATATTTGTCATAACGAATGAGGTGTGCACATTCTAGTCCAAAACATGTCATTCTTTCCTTTTATTTCATTCTTTTTCCAACACCCATTCCCACCAAATGGCCAATGTGAGCAATAATGGCAGTGCCTGGGGCCACCTAAATTTGTAACAAAAAGCGAACAACCAAAAAATTAGCGTGGATGTGTTACGCAGTAATGGCCCCAGCCAGCATTCACTTGCCTCTCTTCCAATGAGCAAATTAAAACAATGGTGACAACACTTCAAGCTTAAGTAAATAGTATGTGACAAAATTCTGTAGTCCTACAAACTCTTCTCTTTATTTTATATAAAGTATTTTGCAGTAATCAAATGATAACAAGAAAACACACAATCACACGTCAGCATGCACGTGAATAACCTATAGCAGCAGTAGTCTCTCTCACCCATCATTCTGTTTTGCACAATTATTATTACTGAGGAGAAAATGCAGTACAAAAAAAGTGTGAACTAAAAAAAAAGAAGATTGCTGTAAAAGCATTGGTAATAATGCACAAATAATGTGCTCAAACATTCCATGAACAATGAGGGAAACACACTGTTAAAAAAACAACAACATGAGAACACACTGCATTGCCCAAGCACACACAGACCGCACAGAAACTGAACACGAAGTCACTGCTCCACATTCACAGAGCTTGCCTTGCTGGCTTCCCCAGTGCCACACGTAGGAAAGGAAAGAAAAAGCAACTGCCAGTCTCTCTCGTTGTACCCACTCTGCTCTGTATATGAGTGAGAGAAAACAGGGAGAAGTGCGCCATGGCCGTGAGCCGAAGTGTTTTCACCTCCTTGAGACTGTGCCTCTTTGTCCTCAAGGAGGCAAGCCCCTTTCCACTTATTTAATCATGCTAATGTAGCTTGGAGCTACTACCTGCTGTTGGCTAGGAGTGCTTAGTCGTCGCTGTCGCTGCCAGATTCACTTAAGCGCAGATCTTCACCTGCGAACAAGAAAAAAACAGACAGCTTTATTATTACGAACTGAGCTCGACACAGTGAGCAAAATGCACAGAAAACACTAGCTACCGCAAAGCTTTTATCAAATGCCATAGAGCTCTGGCTCAAGCGTGCAAAACTCGGCACACCGAGACGCACCGAGACGCTTGAAATGGAAGAATTTGGTAAATAACACCTGTGGCTGGCACACTGAACTGCTCGAGATAAGTGCTTTGCACCCCAGCCTACTTTTTTTGTTTTTAAATCTTTGATTTTTGTATGTTTATACATGTGCTGATTCCTCCTACCGTATTTACTCGCATAATCCTCGCACTTTTTTTTTTTTGCCGGAAAACCGATGAAAAGTTGGAGGGTGCGAGAATTACGCAGGGAAAACTTTCTACGAAAACGTACAGAGCGAAAAAGAAAATGAAGTGGCCGCAAATCGGGATTCTCACACCAGCAACTAACAGCAAGCTTTAAGAAGTACTAATTAAAACTTACCCCAACAATAAAAGCAGAGCTTCAACACAAGACAAAATTTAATTGAGACACAAAAAGTAGAAGCAAATAGTCGAGAATTAGAATACCATACGCAAAGCTTACGGACGTTGCGGGTGTAGCGGTAGCGTTTGTCGCTCAACAGGAGCCCTCAAAAGGTAAGCGTGGGACGCCAGTATTGGGCTGATGGCTATTTAACAGAATTGTCCGCAGTTTCCTTCTTAAGAAATAAAGTTTGCCATCAATCCCAGTTTCAGGCACACAGCAGGCCCAACGTGTCTTGGTGGCTTTCAGCAGCCATCACCAGTAGCGAACACAAAACTCGTAGGCTCTGAAGGGCCTACCGGCGGCCCTGTTGCCGTTCTTTAGAGAATTATCTATTACTTACAACTTGAAAGTAGCCGTACAGGTTCAGTATCGCCTCTTAACTTGACAAGGTTACCGACGCAACATACAAAACACGCCGCAACGCGCACTGGCCACTTCGGCTTGGCTTGAGTTGGATTGAATCTCTGTGCAATAGAACGCTTGATGCTTAAGAAATGGCGCCAGATGACGTGCGCTATCATCATCAGTGGCTGGAAAGAGCTGACGACATTATTGCAGCAGTTTTTGGGGGTGCGATAATTACTCGAGGAAAAAAAGAAATCGTATTTTCGTTGGGCGGTGCGGGGGGTGCGAGTGCGAGGATTACGCAAGTAAATACGGTAATTTATCTGACGTAAAAAAAAAGCTACTTTCATGAACAGTGAGAGTTTTTTTTTTTTAAATCACATGAACTGCAAAATGTAGCTGGCAGACGTTGTGTGAAAGTTAATTTCTTCATTGCCAAATAAATTAAGAGGAACTTGCAGATGTGTTAAAAAAAAGCAGAGAAAAAAACAAAAAAGAAGGTAGGCTGTGGTGTAAAGCACCAATTCCAAGCAGTTCAGTGTGCAACAGGTATCGTGTACCGAATTCAGAGCTGCATACATAGGCCAAACAGGAAAGTGTGTTAACACGTTAATGCAGTGTAGTGTAGCTTTACATAGTGATGGCCTATCTCATATGGCTGCGCATTAGAAGCTGTATGGATGCCAACCCAAACTCAGCAATACTAGCGTCGCTTCCAGGCATCTTGACTCAACGACCTGAAAGATAATTGAGGCTTGGCATATTGTCATGAGCAAGAGCCCTTCTGAAGAAGATTACGATGAGGTGCAGCCAGTGTTCGAAATGGCTTGAGCGCACACTTTAACGAGGCTGGAGGTGATCGAGACACAATCAACCACGAGCAGGCATTGTCCACGTATACTTGCAAGGAGGTGATCTCGCCAGCAAGCGTACTGGCGACGGGAGGCGCAGGGCTTTGAAAGACTGTGACGCAGGCGTCCCAAGAGATGGCCAGAGACCTCGTTCCGTTAGAGCATGGCTGCTCAAGATGCAGTTACCGCACACAGCCAGCCTAGATGTTCCTGGCACAAGCCTCCTTCAAAGCAAGCCACTAAAGACAGTCCTCAGTGGGCTGCGTCACCTCGTAACAACAGGTGTGCTATGAAATGATCATCAGAGACTTGCCTCACTGGGTGTCAACTTAAAGTTTCGAAGGCCGCTGTCTCGTCAGCAACGAGATCACGTGATGACGGCGAGGGACGATTTCGGCAGTGGCAGGGATGGCGAGGTTCGTCAAGAACCCAGACAACGAGTCAAATGAGACCAACGACAAACTATGACGAGGAACCAGCCAGTGTTACCACAGGTTGTCTCGAAGCATGCGCAACATTAAGGCTAGAGTTGCCAGAATTTAATTAAGACGTTGCATTAGCTTATGCTGGAAGTTGCAGTTTTTTGTGTTTGCTTGAATGTTCTTGCATTTTTTTTGTACCGTACGTGTGCTTCGTAAATGTGTTGTGTTGTTAACGGAGTCCTGTCTTAGTCTTTCATCCATAACCACCCGAATCTGTGACACATATACTACAGAGTCAAAAAGAGTCGTGCATCAGCTTTCTACCTGTAGCCTTGCAGCACACAGAAATACTATTGTGAAAGCCCGTGTATAAACAGTTCCCTCCCAGGACCCCCCCCCCCCCCCCCCCAAAAGATTTTAAGGTACAAAATTTAGGCTCGGTACTATATGTGGGTCGCAAGAATGTTCGGCCGAAATTCAGTTTTGGTTTCAGCATAGTGCGGTGCTATCATCATCCTCGAGTGTTTGCGCGTTTCTGCACTAGGCAATGTTAGCAGCAGTTGCAGGCGTTAGTCTTAAGGCGCGTTTACACTAGAGCGACACGACACTGACATGACAAGCCATTTGCTAACGAGTCGTCCGCCGCCGGAGTCGCCAGACCCTATGATCACACTAGGCCGATGACACCGATGACACTTCAAAGACAACATTTCATCGTAGTGTAACATAATGAGAAACCGAAAACCCCAGCAAAACGCGTCTGTCTGCGTGTCTTGAGGAGATCCGCGGCCGAGCGAAAATTCGAAGGCTTCCAGGGCGTCTGAATAGGCAGCTCAAGCGGAAGTATTTTTTTCCCTACCCTATTGTGAATCCCCGACCCTGTCCCACCTTACCATGCATTATGGCAGAGCGGGGAGGATGGCTGAAGATGAGGTACGGAGAATCAGAAGTGACCTCTGCCGGACGGCTGAAACTGGCCTAGCCAGCGATGCTGTGCTCTTGCATAATCGAGGTTCGGGCCTGCATTCCCAAGGCACTTATTTGCAGCGCATTCAAAAAGTGCTTTATCTCGAACGCGCTTGATAGCGCTGAGAATGATGTGCTTTGGGGAACACTTCCGACAAGGCAGCTCCGGAAGAGAGTGCCTCCGATGACGATGATGAATGAAGTGTGTCAATAACTGCATTTTTCTGTTTCATTCGGTCTACATTGGGGTGAAAATTTTTTTTCTGGCGTTTGCTACCCCCAAATCACACCCTGGACTATATGCGGGTCTGTGATATGTGCAGGCTTCTACGGTATTGTACCCGAGTGGGTAGAGGTACTTTTGCCTTTTTTTGTAGTTCTTTCTTGTATGGCTCTTTTGATTTCTTTGTTGTTTGTTATCTGAGGCCCCGCGCGTGTGTATATTTATGTTCTGCGCATGTGAATAAAAGTTCCGTTGAAAGCCGAGCTCTTGTGTTTCTTGTGCACCCTCATGTTTTTGTATTGCTTTGTGGTGCCATTTCGTAATTAGGGACATAAATTGTACTGTTTGAAGTGTATTAGAGTTATTGTGACATAGATACAAAAAATCAAAGTGGACAAAAAGACCACTAGCTATCCGCAGGGGTCAAACCTACAAACTTCAGATAAAGCACACAATGCTCTCCCGATTGAGCTATCGTGCCAGTCGTACCCTCATCCACTTTATCGCTTATTTGCGCACAAACCAGAGAGTATTGGTCAGATCTGCTCATAGCCATGATGGCGTGAACACTGCTTTATTTCTTATCCATCTGGCATCATTGATTGATATGTGGGGTTTAACGTCCCAAAACCACCATATGATTATGAGAGACGCCGTAGTGGAGGGCTCCGGAAATTTCGACCACCTGGGGTTCTTTAACGTGCACCCAAATCTGAGCACACGGCATCTGGCATCATGTAACATGACATATTTCCTAAATGTGGTGCGCCCGCAGTAGTGAATACACCTATATGGGTGCCACTTCTAGCATTACTACATATTGACGCATGCCACCATTGATGACCGAGCCGCTGTAGCTCATACTCGTTTTAGGTTGAGAAGAAGAGAACATTTTCGTTGCTCTGGTTCAGGTTAACTCCTGGCTGTAGGTCTTGTTTTGCTCGTGACATTACTGGTGGAGGTGCTGGGTACGTGTACTTCGGCTGTGTCGGCCATCTTGGAGACAGCTACATCTCCCAGAGCAAAAAGCAGCCGGCGTCTGCGTGGGTTACCCCCTGAATTTGGCCCCTTTGCATCGACACCTAGAAAGACGGCAACTCCTATGACAAGCCAGGCTGTCCAAACCAGCGATGCCCATGGTTCTCCTCTCCCGCATGTTTTTCATGCGCCACAGACAGCAAAGCCATTCCATACATCCTTGAGGATGTTGATGACTGGCTCGACCACTTTGATCGGCTTGCCAGTATCAACGAATTGAACGATGTTCGCAACCTGTGCTGAGTTTACTTCTATTTGGAAGATTCTGCGAAGACGTGGTACGGGAACCATGAAGGCTCCTTTGCAGCCTGGCAAGAGTTTAGCTGACAGCTCCGTGGCCCCAATCGCAACACCGATTCCCGAAGCTCCAGTCCTGACATATGCAGCGGCATTGCGATCCCGTGCGCCACCGGCTACAGATCCTGCTATGCGACCAAGGCTATGCAACCATTCCAGGACACTGCTTCGAGCCCCCTTCTCGGCTCAAGGTTTCCGAGCACACCCTCCTATCTGCCATCTGCCTCAAGAAAAAGTGGTAGCAATCCAAGCACGTGGCACACCTCGGATAACCGTCTGCTCTGCTATCACTGTGGCGAAGCGGGTCACACATA